ATTTGTCATTATAGACCTATAAATTGTATGCATCCCTACATGTGTAAGTTACATTTTAAAAAAATCTTCTGCATTAATCATAAGACCGCCAAGGACACACAGAATTCTTGTGATTTTGTGGAGGTGACATTAGCATGGGAACCAAGGGACTTAAATTCTAGTTCCTTCGCTGCAGCTAGTTCATGAGCTGAGACGAACTGTCAAGCTCTGAGCTGTTCATCTGAGAAACATGGGTTATGTTCGGTTTTGCCTAAAAACAGCACTTAATCTTGCTGTGCTGTCTCTGATTTGAGGATGTTCCACCATAGGAAAGAAGACAAGATATATTCACTTCTTATCTTTGCAGCGTTCACGACATAACACGTACAAACATTCAAACATGGAAGCAGAAACTACATATGATCTATGCTCTCTGACAGGAATAACAGCAGAAAATTGTGGTATTTGGGGATATAAAATACTGGAATTTATAAAAGAGAAATAGGTGTTAGGTGGCCAAGGCACAGAGGGAGAAGTGAGCATCAGGACAACCAGACTGTGCAAGATGGAGTGGCTGATCTAAAGAAAACAAGACCCCTACAGGACCTGAACACAGGAGTAGGGAAGAGACTTAAGGAACATGGCCCTAGGCCTTGCTGACATACTCACATCAATGATGGTGAAGTGAAAGGTGAACACCTCCCATACTCCTGAAACACACTTACCGTGCTGCAGGCACTCAGGAGAATGAGGTGGGAGGATTGTAAGTTTTACTTACATAGTGAGCCTCTGTCTTTTAAAAAATAAATGGAAATTTAAATTATTTACATCAAAAGATTAAAAATAAAAGGTATATCCAGAAAACAGTAAAAAAAAAAAAATGTTCATATTATGCTGTCCATTCCCCTGACACATAAAGAGTGACCTGTCCTTCATTAAATTTCTCATTTGCTGGAAACCTGGGGCACTGGGTGGGCAACATGGCAGAGCCTGATGGGCAAGAGCTTGCAATCTACTGCTGCTCCCTTCTCATCTATAAAGATTCTCGGGTAATGCATCACCTGATGAACCAGCTGCTCAAAGTAATGAAGGACGATGAACAAACATAACAGCCCCTGTAATGGCCATCAGCTTGGCACAGTGGCTTCCTGTGGCTGCTTTTAACAAGTCTCCTCAACATTTTGTTTCTATCCATCGCATTTCTGACATGCTGATACAGTAACTGTCGTGTGGCCTTCTTTCAGTGAAAGAACTTGGGAGTGACAGCAAAAATCTTCTTTTTTCTATTTCCCAGAAGTTGAGAACAATAGCAGTGGTGTAATACTCAACAACTATTTTTAAGTGAGTTCAGTGTGCTGAGTCCATGAATGAGTAGAAATTCCTTAAAGAGTGAAGTTGGAGAAAAGATGATCCTGGAGCCGTTGGCATCAGCTAGGATGAAGAGCATTTATGTTTGTTTTGTTTTGCTACCACAGAAGCAGCTCAAAGACAAAGAGAGTTAGGTTTTTGGATCCAAAGAGTTGAAGCCACGGGGGTGATGAATCTAGGCTTGACATTAGAACTGAGTGCAAAAACAGAAAGCAAATGAATGGAGGGAGTGAGAAAGTGGGAAAGACTGATTCCTTTCCCCATAATCCCCCAAGCAGTCTCAGATACAGTATCAAGAACAAAGATAGAGCAGATGTCACTGCTAATCAAGAGGTAGCTGTGGCCTTTCTCAAATCACCTTCTAAAAGGAGTTCTCTAATTGGACTTAAGACCTGTCCAGTAAGTCGGGAAATCATGTCGGGTACTAGAAAACCAGATAACTCCCTGGGGCTTAGTGAGGTCATGGATCTTAGAGAAGAATCTATTACTGCCACTTTAAACCAGAATAATTACTAATTGCATTCTAAATGCTCATGCTTATACCCACAAATGAGTGTAGTATTCACTCCTCATTAATGAAACTTCTCTTTGCACTAGACAGAGATCATTATAGAAAACTGCTCAAAAATAAGAGAACAACTGATTATGGGGTGCCCAACCCCCAGTGGATAAATCTACAGCACAACTCTTGCACCTACAGCTCAGGGAATGTTGGCAGAAAAGGAGGCAGAAAGATTGTAAAAGCCAAAGGAGCAGGAAATTGCTGTAAGAATGTGTCTCATAAAAAATAACAAGGAGGCTATACCCTTGGTACCTCAACAACGTGGACATGTCTACAATACTCTGCACACCAACAAAAAATTTGGATTGTACAGAAACTGAAGTCCTGACTTTCTCAAAGGACTAGTATCATGGCAGTAAATGAAAAGGAAAACAAACAGCTTGTGACAACAAAGAAAACAACAACTACATAATCCTGTATATCTGTGTCAGGAAAAACATGTTTTGTTTTGTTTTGTTTTGTTTTGTTTTAATACATATGAATGCTCACCTGAAGATCTCAAGACATTGTTTTAAAGATTATAGAAGTTATTGGTATTTTCTAAACAGAATTACATGGATCTAAAACAAAATGAATAAAACACAGGATCAATTAAAAAAAAACTAAAAGAGCAACCAAATAGAAAGGTACCAACTGATTTTCCAATTTTTACACGAAGGAATGAAGGCCTGGTTACCTCAGTGATGGACTTTGTCTAATCTCAAGTCCCAGATCCTGAGAAGGCATGGGTAATGGGGGTGGGGAGAGAGCTATACTATCCTTTGTCGGAATGATGAGAGGATGACCTCTAGAGAAACAAGACCCTGTCTCTGTGGAAGGAGCACCCCTAAAACTTTTCAAAGGAGTCTGGACATATCTAAAAAGGAATGCTTTTTAAATGTGGCTTACAATGTAATTGGAAAAAAAAAAATGTAGCCGTCATGGAAGCCATCCAGAGGCAGGTAGCCTTGACTAAGTATCCCCCTATGTCTCCCCACAGCTTGACTGCCCTCTGAAATCTCTGGAAGCAAAAGCACAGCTGCATTCCTTTCACACAGGACTTCCCTACCTGGAGGGCCCGCTGAATTCCAGGACCAAAGGAACTGCATAAAACACCGGAGAGCTCCTATGAGGGCTTAAGCTCAGTGGTAAGGTGCACAGCACCTTAGCACCCATTCCCAACGTTCTAAAATTGTCTGGAAAGGACTTTTTCTTCTTAAATACCGCTTATCTTACTCACTCCCCCACTGCCCCAGGTCTCTGGAGTTCCTTCCCTGCCCTGAACCTGCTACCCACATTTGACCCCCCCCCTTTTTTTAAGATTTATTTATTATGTATACAATGTTCTGACTGCAGGTATACCTGCAGTCAGAAAAGGACACCAGGTTAAAAAAAAAAAAAAAAAAAAAAAAGACACCAGGTCTCATTATAGATGGTTGTGAGCCACCCTGTGGTTGCTGGGAATTGAACTCAGGACCTCTGGAAGAGCAGTCAGTACTAACCTCTGAGCCATGTCTCCAGCCCTTTGACCCTCTTTTAAAAGCCACCCATACACCTGGACTGCCTCACTAGCCTGTGACAAGTGTTCCATAGGCCTTCAAGAGCTTTCGTACTTTTCTAAGTACTCTGTGCAGTTTCTCTCTGCCCTACCCCCTGCAATGCTGGACAATTTGCACCACTCACTCCCTTGTCCAAATCCTAAAGCCAGCTACTTTTACTGAACCCTGAGAGGTAGTTAGGTACTCTCGCCAGCTACTTAGGCAGGCTTCTGCCTAGTGCCCCAGCCCTGGACCCATCAGGGACCTGGCTCACAGCAGTCTTAATAAATATAGTCTGGATTAACAGCCATAAAGCATTGCTCAGTGAACTGACTGACCGCAAAACAGGACCAAAGGTAAGGCCGCTCTGCCACCACAGAATCCCCATCGAGGAGTTGCCCTGACTTCTGACAGAAACACTTCCTTAGATCCTCTCCCAAATGGCTTGAAGGCAGAGCGCTGCAGCTAATCCCAATACCTCTATCTCCCTACAGTTGTGTCCTCAGCAGTCTTTGGGTGGAATCTGTTCATACTTACACGCCACCACTCTATATTCATCGATATCCACAAATATCTTAAAGGCGTCATTGTTCCCAGTTTCCACCCCCAAAATAGTCTGGCAGAGGTCATGCGGCATAGCAGAAGTCATGCACAATAAATTCCAGGCCTGGCCGTGGGCATCTAATGAAAGAGTCAACCAGCATATCATCCTGGATGCCTTTTTGAATATGGGCAACTATTTCGCACACACATTTAAAGAAGCGTGAATTGAAAAATCCCCAGAAAGTGGTCCGTGATGACCAGTATCGCAGGTGTTTGCTGTTTCCAAGACAAGAGGATAATTCAAGCAATCAGCTGAACTGCGATAGAATGACCCGAAATATCTCAGCTACAAAATACATCGGGTGTCAAAAACACTCACTAAACAGCATAAGGCAATATGCTCATAAGTCAAGTCAGCAAACTACAGACCAAAGGCTGGAGTCTAATATTGCAAGCAGAGTTTTATTGGAATCTCCAAAAGGCATCTTTCTACTAAAAATCAAATTCCCCAGCTCCTTCAAATGCCAAGTGGCACTGTGGGCATCCATCTCCAGAAACCACACTCTCTTAAGAAGAGGGAAGGGTTGGCTCCGAGGAAAAGGGGGCTGTTTCTCTGCAGGCTGGAAGGGGCTCAGCCATCTAGCGAACCGAGGCAAAAAGGGTGAGAGGGTCCTGCCTCCACTTTCCTGCCCAACCACCAGGCGCGCTAAAGGGATCCTGTGGCTTTAAACCGGGAAGGGGCCATGGTTGCCCTGGGAGACAGACGCTCAACCAACAGGGGCAAGCGCTCCTGGACTGCGAGCAAACATGTGGCCCAGTCCCCACAGGAGGGAGCGGGCTAAGAACAGCCCAAAGAAGTCGGGGAGGGCCTTGATAGGGCGAGAGGAGATGGTGGAGCAAGAGAAGGAAGAGGAGACGGAGGGGGTGGAGCAGATGGAGAAGGTGGAGGGGGCGAAAGGGGCGGAGAAAGAGGCGGACCAGCTGCAGAAAATCCTGGACCCGTTCTCCGAGCTGTTGGGCAGTGAGGAATTCTGGATGACCATGGACCCCACTGAAGACGACTTTGAGGAGGACCCCTACGCCGACTTTCGTCCCCGCCTAATTAGCGTGCGCACCCCCAGCCCGAGCATCACTCCCCCGCCCAGCGAGCGGTCCAGCGCCACGTGGAGCGATGAGGACCAAGCGCGGTTCAGCGAGGTCTTAGAGGAGCACGCGCTGCCCAGAGATGACTCTGCTGCGGGGGAAGCGGGGCCCAGCGAGGGCTCCACACCGGGGGAAGCGGGGCCCAGCGAGGGCTCTTCTGTGGAGGAAGAGCAGTCCAGCGAGGGCTCTTCTGAGAGGCACGAGCTGTCCGTCGAGGGCTCTCTTCCTGCTTCCAGCAGCGCCTCCTCCCATAAAAGTAACGTTGGGCTTCTCTTCCCTTGGGATCCTGTCCCGGGGCCGGCTGATGGACACACACACACACACACACACACACACACACACACACACACACACTGCCCATACACTATTAAGTCTTGGCTGAGTGCCTTCATGGCTCCTAATGTAGGATACAAGGAGAATCTCTTGGTAAATGTAAAAGGTGGAAGTTGGGGTTACTTCTGTAGGCGACTGAGGTGCTAAAGCAGTTCTGCAGTGACACACAGCTCTCTCCTGTGCCTTGAACTTCCTTGCTGGCATCCCTCCACCAACTGCCTTATTTAAAAGGGAAACAGGGCATTTACAACAGGCTTCTCAAAGCTCTGAAAGGTCGCGTTTCACATTTCCCTGCTGGAGAAAGGGTGGTGTCCTCTGGCATCTTAAGATATTTTGTTTACCAGCACCCCTGGCCTTCTCTGCCCCTGATTAAGGTCCTTGTAATTACACACGGGCATGCGCGCACACAGAATCGTACACACTCCCCTGTGACAACCAGACTGGCTTCAGCCCTCACCAAATGTTCCCTGGGGACGAAATTTCCCTTAGAGAACCCCCGGGCAGGGAGTGGTTGAACTGTTTAATGTTTCATTCAACAGGTTTTCCTAAAATATTTCAAACGTTTAAGAAAAACTTGTCTGAAGTGACTGTGGATAGGTAAGAAAATGTTTTCAGTTGTCATGTTTTTAAAAAGCAGATACCGTTTGCCTTTTTTGATAGACTTGTTATAAATAGCCCAAGGCATGTGCAACTTACGCAAAAGCTTTTTGTTTGTTTGTTTTTGTTTTTCCCAAGCATGCTAGTGCATGCTGTACTCCCAGCATTTCAGAGACTGAGGCAAGAGGATCCCAAATTCAAGGCCACTCTGGCTTACACAGCATTAAAAACAAGCAATCCCCCCACACATACATAAGCAGGCAGTTTGTCAGAGATAAAGATGAAAGTTTTTGTCTTCCTCTTGTTACCCAACTCTAAGTATGATGTGTTCACTTATCAGTATGATAGAAGGTAAATAAATATGAACCATGCAGACAACAGAAAGTGCCAGGGCGGGAAAATGGCTCTACGGTTAAGCAAATGTACTGAGCTGAGTTTCCAGCACCCACTAGGGGCCTCTCACAATTGTCTGTAACTCCAGTTCCAGGCTCCAGCAGGATCCAATGCCTCTGGCTGCAACAGGCCTGGCGCTTGTACTCGCCATCCCCACCCCCACCCCCACCCCCACACGGCAACACACACAACTGAAGCACAAGGCTTGTGTGTTTTTATCCATCTAATTCAAATTTCTGATGAAACTTGTGGTTTAAAAAAAAACTAAAGTATATCGACACATGACAGTGAAAATCTCCACACTGGTTCTTCCCTGACTCACCAGACAGAGTTAACCTTAGCTGTCTTGGCTTTCCTTCCATTTGTGTGTGTGTGTGTGTGTGTGTGTGTGTGTGTGTGTTACTTGTGTTCTCGTGTGTCTATACTAATGCATAGGCCAGCAGTCACCTGAAGTATTGTCTGTAGGTGCTGTCTCATTGGACTGGAGGCCAGCTACTATGTTAGATTAGCTGGCTAGCGAGACTCAGGGATCTATCCATCTTCACCTCCCCATTGCTAGGATTACAAATGTTAGCTGCCACACTCAGCTTTTCAACATGTATTTAACATGTGTAACAGAACTCACAGCCTTATGTTCACACAGCAAGTACTTCACCCCTAAGCTACCTCTCTACCCCTCCAATGATAATTTTAAGTTGAATTCATCAAATTTTCCCTCAATTTATCAAATTCTGACTTAAGTATAGGCTTCCTCTCCAATTTTTTTGATATTTATATTACTTTTAATTTCACAGGACTTAGAACTGTAAAAGATTTAAACCTCTACTTTTTGCCTTATCAACATTAATAATTACACATGGGCATGTGCGCACACAGAATCGTACACACTCCCCTGTGACAACCAGACTGGCTTCAGTCTGGTTGACTGATAAAATATGAACACCAAATTCACTACTGCTTTCTTCTATCTCTTCTCGTCTAGTTTTTCTAATTAACAAGTTTATGGAGAGAGGAGGGGAGAGAGAAGCAAATTACATTAGCTATACATTCATATAAGATTATATTACTTTGCAGTTGTTTAATATGCATGTTGTGTTCTTAGTTACAATTGATCATTAGTACTTTGACTTTTAAAAACTGAAAACTAATGAACATACTCCATTGCATGTTAAGAAGCCTGTATATGGGATCCATGGAAGAGAACACGAAATCTGATGTTAGTGAAACTTGTTGCCTACGAAGTAAGATTTTTCCACTCAGTTGTGTTCAGTTGCCTTCACTTTTTCTGCGCTGTGCCAGACATATTCCCTTGAATCCCAATTTACCATCTTTTCATTCCTTTCTATTTGCTAAGACAATTCTTTAGGTAATATTTTTTTTTCATGTACTTCTCACAAGTACTCAAAATTCTAAGCTCTTGTCTGCTGGAAATGTCTCCATTTTGCCACCAAGCTTGATTATGAATACAACCTAGCATAAGAGAACATGTTGTTGTTGTTGTTTTAAGATTTCTTTATTATTTATACAGTTTTCTGACTGCATGCCAGAAGAGGGTGTCAGATCTCATTATAGATGGTTGTAAGCCACCATGTGGTTGCTGGGAATTGAACTCAGGACCTTTGGAAGAACAGTCAGGGCTCTTAATCACTGAGCTATCTCTCTAGCCCTGAGAATATGGTTTAAAGCACTGTTCTTCAGAGCTCCGAAGACATTGCCTCATCGCCTCCCAGGAACCAGTGTTGGTGGTCAGTCTGTTTCCCAACCCCTTCTCATTTTCATTTCCTCCTTCATAAACTCTCTTCTTCCCATCAGAATGAACATTGTGGCTATTGGCTAGGATTCTCCATTGTTCTATTCTTTTTTATATTTTCTATATCTTCAAGAGTTTTGATGTTTCTGTACAGCCTGTGTGCAGTTTTATTCTGTGATGCATGGTTGTAATTCTGATAACCAGTTACTGCTGTTGTTTAGAACACTTTCTGACTGTTCTTTACTGTCTTTGAAGCCACTCAGACCCAATAATGCATTAATATGTAAAGTTAATGTACTTTTATTTCTTTTTCATTGATCTCTTTCTTTTCTAATATCAATTGTTTTTAAATAACTGACAATCCTTAGTTATTCGTTTGCATTTATAAAGGATGGCTGGTGGGCAGCTAAAATGGCACCCTCAAGCCCGGAGTACTTTACTTTCCTAAGGTAGGAGGGCTTACAGGAAACTTGAGCAGGTGAGGGGAACATGTCACAGTCAGTTTCCTCATTAGCCTATGACCCCACCATTATTAGAGTGAAGAGGAAGATACTGTACCGTCTGGCTAAAGTTCTTCAAGATGGAATGGTCCATCTGCCTGCCTCTCTCTCTCTGTGTGTGTGTGTGTGTGTGTGTGTGTGTTTCCCTCCCCCCTCTTTCCTCTCTCCCTCTCTCTTTTTCCCTCTTCCTCTCCCATTATACCTCCCTCCTCCTCTCTTCTTTCTTTCTTTCTTTCTTTCTTTCTTTCTTTCTTTCTTTCTTTTTTTCTTTCATTCTTTTGTCTTTCCTCAAAACTTGTTGAATCAATCACTGTGTTCTCTGTTTCTCATTCAAGGAGAAAACTTTCCACTTTTCAACAACAAGCTGTTCTTTACACTCTTTTAGAAATAGAAAACTCCTGGGGCTGGAGACGAGGCTTGGTGGTTAAAGCACTTGCTGCTCTTGCAGAGGAAAATAAGTTGCCAGCATCCACATAGTCCGTAACAAACATCTGCCACTCAATCCAGTTACAGGGGATCAGACACCATCTACTGGTCTCCAAGGTTGCCAGGCACATATGTGGTGCACATGCGTACATGCAGGCAAATCATTCATACACAAAAAATTAACATAATTAAAAAAATAAAACTGGTACCAGTTGCCTCATATAAAGGGAGAGCAAGGAGCTTTCATAGCTGGCTGTCCTAAGGTCATTTCTTGACCTACTATGATGAGAGCCATCATTCCCTCCTTTCTATATTTGATGGCGTGAAGATAAAAGGTCCTCAGAAATTCCCTTTTGGAAAAACTTTCTATTCTTTTAAGATGCTGTATCCTCTGCTCTGGTTTTCCTTTGACCTATAGTCATGTTTCCTTTTTTCAGGGAGATAAGATTACTTATATACCAGGTAGAGAATGTTTTTAGGGCTGGATATTCAAAGAACCTTGGTTTTTGTTTTTTGTTTTCTTCCCTATGAAAATCTACAAAAGGAAAGGAGAAGATTATGCACTGAGTGGCTTTCAGCTATGTTATTTCAAGTCCATGGGAAGCTCTGTCTTCCAGACAAGATTCTTGTGTCTCACAAATATTTCTAAGAAGATGTTTATACACAAACTAAATGAAACACACACACACATTTCAAAGCATTCTTTACTGAACTTGATGAGACTATGGGTGAGATTTTTTTTTTTAATGCCCTAACAATGCAACCAACATCAGTTCAACTTTTATTTTCAGTTGGCTTACTGCTATTCATTAAAATGGGGAAAATTTAAAAGGCAGATTGTGGTAGATTGAGTGAGAATGGCCCCTGTAGGCTCACATATTTGAATGCTTAATCATCAGAGAGCAGAAGTGTCTGGTAAAGTTTAAAAGGATTAGGTGTGCCCTTGGAGTAGATGTGGTCTTGTTGAAGGAATTGTGTCAGTAAGGAGTGGGCTATTACGTTTCAAAAGCCCCTGTCAAAATCCCAGTATCTCTCTGTCTCTTTATGTCTCTGTCTGCCTCTGTGTCTGTGTCTGTCTCTCTCCCCTTTCCTCTCTCCTCTCTCCCCATCTTTCTCCCCTCTGCTTCTTTCTCTCTCTCCTTCCTCCCTCTCGTCCCTCTTTTCCCTCTCCTCCCTCTTTCTCTCCCCTTCACCCCCTCTTCCCTGCCTGAGGACCAGAATGTAAAGCTATCAACTATTACTCCAGCACCATGCCTGTCAGCTTCCCACCATAATGACCGTGGACTAAAATTGGAAGCAAGCTCCCAACTAAATGATTTATAAGAGTTGCCTTGGTTATGGTGTTTTTTTACAGCAATGGAACCAACACACACAGATGAAATGGAATAAGACACAGATGAAAGTGACAAAACAAGTTTTAAACTGGTTTTATAGATGCCCTTTTGTCTCCATGGGCCTCTGTTTCATTGCCAGTGAAAAGGAAATACTAAGGCTTTGATTATCTTTTGTGAAGATAATAAAAATATCATAGGTAAACCAGTATTCATTCCTAGCTAGTATGCTCTCCACAAAGTGAATTCTTTGGCCATGCTCATTCAGCTTCCACCTAAAACTTGTGAAAGATTAAGGAAGGCCCGGATACTTAAATAACTAGTGTATTCATTTTTGTTAGCTATTACTTTGGGGGGTAGGGAATGCACAGCAAACTCTAGGGATTTTGCTCCCATGTTGCTATACTGGTAATCCCCACAGCTTGTCTCTCGGGAAGGTTAGATAAACAGCATTGCCTCAGAGACTTGCACAAGTGCCCTCCACAGAGTACTTTGCCTATTCCAGGACACAGTTGCTTCAGAACTGAAAAACAAAAGCACTTCACTGATGCAATTTGCCAGGAAACAAAGTATCCAAAGGGCAGGTGAAGACACGGTTGAACTATGATGAAAAAGAAACAATACTAAATGAACAAATTGAAGCAAAGTTGTTCCATCATTTTAGAAGATGCAATTTTTAATTAAAATGCAAAGAAATAAGGGAGACAGAAAAATTATGTTTACTTGTTACTCCTAGAGTTATTAAATTCGTACCTCCTTATCATGTGAATGATAATTCAAATTAAACTACTCAAAGAAGAAACAGAGGTCCCTTAATTACAATGTGTTTGCCTTAACATTAGCAACTTTCTTAAAAGAAAAGGCTTATATAATTTCTTAGCATTCAGGAGGTATAGGCAGGCAAACTCAAGGCCAACCTGTTCTAGAGAGCAAGTTCCAAGATAGCCAGGCCACACAGAGAAACCCTGTCTGGAAAAATAAAGCAAAGCAAAAGTTTGTATGATTTCTTGTGTGTGATCACATATGTGTGTGGAGTGTGTGTATGTATGTTTGTGGGCAGTGCGGTTATGCCTCCATGAGCATGTGGAGGCCAGCAGTATCTTCCTTCGTCGCTTTCCTTCTGGGCCTTCTGAGATAGTCTCTCACTGGATCTGGCATTCACCATGGTGGCAAGAAAGTCTGGCCGGCAAGCCCAGCTCTGTGTCATTTTTGAACTAAAGAAAGTGAACACTTCGTGCTAATTTAAATTCACATAAGTGTATAGGTACACATCACTAGCACAAGCAAAAGAGTCCTACGAAGGCACAGTGATAGCGCTAGTAAACCCTACGGGAAAAGATGGCATCAGAAGCCTCCAGGAAAACCCGTTCAGTCTGGGCACATCTCTTTCTTTACCCTCACAGCTGCCACAAAGGAAATGCCGGGCACTCTTCTGTGGCTGTCTATGAATCTGTAATCCTCAAGTCTTCAAAGAAAGTTTACCAAGCACCCTAAGCAACCAAAAGCAACAGGTGGCACCCTGTATGATGGACAGTCACTGAAAGACCAAATCTTTCCCACTTCCTCTGCTTCTTGGGAATCAGAGACAAGCAGTCTGCGCTGTAGTCTACTCGTCTACATCAGCTACATGTCATGGGGCCTCCCCTAACCACTGAACCTCATGGGACTGATGTCTTTTGAGAACTACCCCACCATGCCTGTCTTATCTATGGCATTAAGTAACTCCTAATAAAACTCTTACCCAAAACATCAGTTCTCCTCATTGTCCCTCATGCACCTCAGATCTGCAGACTTTCAGGAAGGAAGACTTTCCAAAGAATTGATTTGATACACATATCATGTTTAACATTACTGAAAATCTAGGAATGGAAAAAATGTTTTAAAGAAAACATCAGAACTTTCTATGGGCATGTTATTCAGCTAAAAATATTCTATGTAGAGGAGATTTGCAAACTACCATATAATTATACTCAAACTAACATTTTGACTTAAATTTCAGAAATATGTATCCAAGTTTATATGAAAGAGTTCAGATATCAGTACAAACAGAAGAAAGTTGGCTTCAACAAAAGGCTGCAAGAATGAAACTACGTGAGTAGTTCGATTCCTAAGCGTTTGTCAGGAGAGTGGATTGCAAACTGGAAATTCAACCAGTATGGAAGGGCAGTAAAGCCGATACTGAATCTGGACAGGATAAATAAACATTGGAGACTGATGCACTATCCAAGGACCATGCATGGAGAGGACCTAGACCTCCTGCTCAGATGTACTCCATAGGCAGCTCCATCTCCATGGGGGAATCCCCAGTAAGGAGAGCAGGGGCTGTCTCTGACATGAACTCAGTTGCCTGCTCTTTGGTCACTTCCTCCTGGTGATTCAGCCTTACCAGGATATAGAGGAAGAGGATCCAAGCAGTCCTTGATAAGCTAGGGTCAGATGGCAGGGAAGGAGAGCTCCCCCTTTCAGTGGACTAGAGGAAGAGGATGGGGGAAAGAGGGAGAGAGGGTGGGATTGAGAGGAGTTGAAGGAGGGGCCATCAATCAGGATATATAATGTATAAATTGTAAAAAAAAAAAAAAAATTTAAAAATTAACTTATAAAAAGGAAAAACCTAATAATCATAAATGCCCTCTTGTGTGCGGGTACATGTAAGCAGAACACTATAAATTGCTCCGGCCAGCAGAGCTAAGGTTATTCGCGGGTTAAAAGAGAATCCAAACCTGTGAAAAGATGGGCGAGAAAGAGAAAGGAGTCCAAGCAAACAGGTGCTTGTCAAGGACCAACTTTACTAAGCAGAATCAGCTTTAAATAGGATTCAGGATGAGGAAGTAGGGTGGGTGAAACGTTACAGATTCTTCTCGGCCAGGGGCCTGAAACATCTTGTGATAAGCCATGGTTCTGTGAGCACATCTCTGCTGTTGCCAAGCAGTGTGTTTACCGCAGGTAAGGAAACGGGCAAGTTGAGGCAGGTTGATGAGTTTCTACAGGTGGTCTCTGACATCTCCAAGCAGTATATTTACTGCAGGTAAGGGAACGGGCATCTCCAAGCAGTATGTTTACTGGAGATAAGGGAACAGGCAAATTGAGGCAAGTTGGTAAGCTTCCACAGGTGGTCTCTGAAGTTGGCGAGTTCCCTCAGGTGGTCCCCGACAATAAATAATAAAAATAAATGAATAAATAAATAAATAAATAAATGAGATCATAGGCAAATTTGTTAATCTCATCAAGCCTCAATTACTTTATGCCTTAACAAAAAATAACACTGCCATAGGAATGATGATAATCAAAATTAGATTAAATATTTAAAATTCTTGGTACATAGTATCTGAGAAAGCATAATGATTTTATTCATCAAGAAATAATCTACCATTAAGACAGAGTATGGTGGTAATTACCTTTAATCTTAGCACTCGGAAAGCTGAGGCAAGTAGATCTTTGTGAGCTCCAGGCCAGCCAAAGATACACAGTGAAACTCTGTCTTGAAAGAGAGAGATTGTAAGTCTCATTATATTTCTGATATATATCTTTATATTTATTTTATTTTTGTTTTGTTTTTCGAGACAGGGTTTCTCTGTGTAGTCTTGGCTGTCCTGGACTGGCTTTGTAGACCAGGCTGGCCTTGAACTCACAGAGATCGGCCTGCCTCTGCCTCCCCAAATATAGGTGTGCTCCACCATGCCCAACTCCTTTATTTTTATTGTAAAAATTACATATATACTCTCTTAAAATTTTTTCAAACCATTAATAAATAATATTAAAGCTGTGGTTGAGGATATGGAGACTATGGATGAGTACCTATCTAGGGTGCAAAAGGCCATGGTTTCAACCCCCAGCACTCCAAGAAAAAAACTAAACATTTAACTTACGCAGTATAAATCTCTAGAAGAAATCATGGAGAAGGAAGGTTTACAGTTATAGGCTTCACAGTTCATTGTGAAGGAAAGTCAGAGAAGGTGAAGTCAAGCAGAAACCATGGAGGAATGCTGCTTGCTGGCCCATGCTTAGCTAGCTTTCTGTCACAGCCCTGGACAGCCAGATCAGGGGAATGGAGCCGCCCACAGTAGCTGGCCCTTCGGTCTCACCTTACAATCAAGACAACACCCACCCACCCACAGACAAGCTGTGGTGGTTTAAATGAGAATGGCCCCCTAGGTTCATATATTTGACTGGTCTCCAGTTGGTTGAACTATTTGGAGAACATTTGCCGTATTACCTCACCTGAGTTAGGTGGTATTTAACTGAGACTTTGGACTTGGACATTACTTTTGTCCTGAATGGACTCTGGGGACTAATGGATTGGATTGAGTTTATTTCATGTGTGTGAGAAGGCTATGAGAGGAAGGGGGCCAAGAAGAATGCTATATTCCGGATATATGTATACCCAAGCCTTGCCTCTAAGTCCCCACGTTGAAACACAAACACGCTTGCAGGCTGAACTTTTGGAGGTTTATTTTATCATTGGGGCTCTGGCCTCACAAATGGAACTAAAGTCTTTGTAACAGGAGCCAGAGACCTGCCTTTTTATTCTGGTATCTGAGAGCACAGCTAGAAGGCAACAACCATTAGCCAAGAAACAGGCCATCAAAGCAACAGCAAACCTGTTGGCACCTCCTGGTGCTTTGTGACAGCAGTCCCAAATGAACTAAGACAGTGTGGCCACCTCTCTATGTCACGAGGGGCTGTTCCTCTGACATGACTACTCAGTACTCCCTCATAGGGTCATTAGGCATTCCCAGGCAGTTGTTGTATTAAGCCCAGAGAAGGCCTTAATTATAATCTTTGTGCATTGGTTTTTATGCCTGTGTTAGCATTTCTGCTGAACATGACTCCTTAAAACTTATTTCATGTTTTTTTCAGACACCACACATCCCCCTCACGATCGCCTTCTAATCCTGTCTCTAATGACTCTTACTGTCCAATTCCTCTGGGAAAGAGGGCTGTTACATCTCAGCAGCCATCTTCTTTGTCTCTGGATTCATCTTTCCAACTTTAGCTGCTTTCAATCTAGGAATTTATGCAGACTGGTTGACAGCTGCTCCTATCACTCAGTCACTATTTAGGAGGAGAGGGGGTTCAAAATAAAGCAAGCACAGGCACTTACTTTTCTGGGATATATTTTATTTCATATTCAACTTGTTTCTCCTGTTTTAAGATTGATAATACATATATACTTTTTTGTTGTTGTTAGGAAAATCGCCATCTCTTGAATCCAAGGACAAACAACCAGATCATCTAGCTTCTAAGATAAGAGGTAAATGGGTATTTGTTTTCATCCCCTTTTGCTGGAAAAGACAAATTGTCAGTAAGGATCAAACCTGATTTGCACAGTGCTGAGAATGTATACAAGCAAGCAATACAAACGATGGGCTTGGTGTGTGTGTGCGTGAGAGTAAGTGTGTGTGTGTGTGTGTGTGTGTGTGTGTGTGTGTGTGTGTGTGCGCGCGCGCACTCACATACACATGTACACTTATTTATGTTTGAGTATAATGTCCTAGCAGATTAGGATGGGAGAGAATCTCTAAAACTAGAGAAAAATAAAACACACTGCACAACGGTTTGCAATTTTCCATCTAAATCTATCCTTTCTCTTCAGCAAAATGGGTAGTTAATCCTGAAGAGCCCAAACTAAATGTATTATATGAGATGGAGGTAAGAGCTATTTGTCATAATAACTAATGCATTGTTCCTGTAAAGTGACTTCAGTCCTCAATTGTTTTTGCTCTCTCTCTTTCTCTCTCTCTTTCCTTAATATTTAGTTTAATGAAGACTTTGTAAAGTTGTTTGAATCTCCTCTAAGGACATTACCCAGCATTGGGCCACCGACTATTCTGGCATATAAAAAAGACCATTCCTTTTTGGACATTAGCTTAAAGGTAATTCAATTCATGTGCTTTATCGTTTCTGTAATGGGCTATATGGGGCCAGAAAGTGATGTGTACAATAGAGCTGAATACACTTTAAAAGAATCAAAGCAAGGGGTTCCTTTACTTGGAACAGCACAGGACTTTCCTAGGTCCTACTAACTAAATTCTGTAAAACAAAAGAATCCCTGCTCTATGATTCTGGAGGCTAGAGGTCTGGCTATTAACAGGGTGTCAACACGGTCACCACTGTAGGGAGACTCTTTCTTCACTTTTCCCAGCTTTAGGGACTGATGGACAGTGTGTAGCCATCCTTGGCTGGCATTTGCACCCTGCCAGTTTCTGCCACGGTGTTTGCTGGCTTCTTACTGAGTCCCTAGGTCCAAAAGTCCTTCTCTACTGACAACACCAGTAATACTAGATTAAGGCCTGTCCCAATAACCCCATCCCATTCTAACTTGGTGATCTTCATAAAGACCAAAAAAAAAAAAAAAAAAAAAAAAAAAAAAAAAAAAGCCACATTCCCAGGTAGCAGATGATAGAAGTCAAAATAACTTCTGGGAAGACATAATTCAACAATTATGGTCACAAAGCCTGCAAACACAGGTGGACCTTAGCCATATTGAATGATTGAGGAACCAGTTAATGCCTGGGTTTCATAAGCTAGATAAAGGTTTCCTCTGTAATTTCAATGGGCAAGAGTGCTGAACGGGGCAAAGAATGATCATTCCCAAATCTAGATAGTATATGACCACATGAAGAGAATATACATTCACAGCTCTGCATTCCCTGGATGACTTCTTCTAGGATATACCAGGTGATATCTTGTCATGGTAAGAAGACCCCAGTTTTGCCCCAGCACCACAGCACATATGCAGGACCAATGAGGCTCTGTGTGAATGCACTGATGTGCAGCTCATTGCCATCACGCCCATCAGTTGGGCTGTGTGGCACTAACAATGGGTAGCACATTAAATACCACACAGCATAACAGCACCAGCTATTGGATGAGCTGTTTATCCAGGTTTGGAGACTTGATACTCAGTCTATGGACTCTTCAGACTGGAAATTTTACCTGAACAAAGCACTCTCCTTCCTCCAAGCCAGAAAGGCTTACATTCAGAGAAATCTCTTGAGCCAGAGCTGTTCCTCTAGCTCCCAAAGATGGCCTGGACCATAAGGAAGGCCTGTGGCTTCTTCTTCTTTAGGCAGATGTCCTGACCTGGACAAAGCTGGCACCTCTGGCTCTAGAGGCAGAGGAGCATTAACATTAGTTGAGTTCAGGAATGGCAGCAGCTGGCTTACCTAGACTTCTTCTCCATACCCCCTTCACATGAAGATTCCAGTGCCACTCATAGTCTTTCAAAAAAAAAAATCTCCATTTTGCTTCATTCTTAGGTGCAGGAACAAAGAACTCATGAGCCAAAGAATGAACAACCAAATCTCTTGTATAGAAATAGTCCTCATTTCATAGTGGTTTTGTATTTTTCACCATCATCTCTCCACTGCAAGACTTTGCCTACTAAGCACTCTGTTTTTAGCAGTGCATCAAGTTTATTGCAGGATGGTTTGACAGACTATAGATGTCTTTACTTGAGTGGCCTCTCCCTAGCTGCCCTAGCTAATTCAGTCATCTTTATAATTCGATACCCTGTCTTAGAGGGTGATTTTGATGGAAAATACAGATGTGCTAGGGCTGTTCATGAAAGGCATATCTGAATATTTTTCTAAAGGATTTTTTTCTGAGGCCCAGCTACTTACCTCTCCAGGCTGTCCCACCCAGGCCCTAGCTCTCTGCTTCCTAACACCTAAGGTCAAGTACATGGCCATTTCACATTCCTGCTGCCACAGCCACAAGCTACTACTGCCACCATGCCATCACTGCCACAATAGACTGTATCTTGAAAGCCATGAACCAGAAGAAACCCTTCTTTATTTAAGTGGTTTCTATTAGGTACTCAGTCACAGAGAAATAAAAGTCGCAAGCACTTATGCATTAATGGCAAGGCTTTTTCCTACTAGCAATTACAGGAAAAGTTTTATATCTAAACACCCAAGACTGTTTTGTAGCTGCCTGTAGTTACATACTATATACTTCTACCCCTTCCAGAGGACTCTGAGGTCATTCTTTTTTGCAGCTTTTTTTCTTGTATTTGCACAGCTCCAGCACTCTTGACTCTGCTCTGTAGAACCGTACCAGAGAGCAGCATTCAAAATGCACCTCGGGCTCCTTATTCTCCACTATCCTTTGAGTGGAAAGGCTGTCTTATGCTAGACCACACAGATCTTGCTGGGTTGGCCCCTTCAGCTACAAGATCTCAGACCCTTAGAAGTTCTCCATCAATTATTTCTATGACAAGTGTTCTCAAATAAATTGGCACATCCCCCATTGCCTTTGTGGCCCTGCTGGACATTCATTGCCCACAACCCTACTCCTATTATTGTTAAGCCTGCTCGACCTTAAGACATTTCTTCACTTTCTTTCTCTTTCTCTGAAGGATGAAGAGGATCTGGTACCCAAGTGTGAATTTTGTGGAAATGATCTGCCATCATTTCTTTCTAGTATGGACATTTACTCTGGCAACTTTCAGGTTAAACCAAATGCACAAGTAAGTTAGTTCTAAATAAGATTTGACTGAGTGACTTGTGTTATTTCTGAACATTTGTAGTATTTTCTCCTTCTTCTTCTTCTTCTTCTTCTTCTTCTTCTTCTTCTTCTTCTTCTTTCTCTTACATTATCATTAAGAGTTCTGTGTTTTTCCTTGACAGCTATGTCAAGGAAATACCAATAACAACCCCATCACATTCACAGCTATAATTTAAAAGACCAATAGTAATAAGGTATTGACACAGCTGTGGAGAAATAGTATAGCTAGCCCAGTGTTGTGACACACACATGTCATCCTAGAATTCAGGAGGTAGAAACAAGAAGGTTGAAGGCCAGCTTGGTATACATAAGGCCCAGGGGTGGGGGCTGGAAAAGAGAGGGAGGAAGAAAAGAGGAACTGCTAACAAACTTTCAGTCCTGTGTCATTCAAGAGATTTCACAAAGGAGAACAGAGTCTTGAATACAAAGGGCGTAGTGGCTGGGCATCTGAAGGTGATAGTGACCACGTAAGAACAATCATCAAAGCTGATCATCTTACAGCTACAAGAGAAGCTGCCAAAGAACTCAGCACAGACCATTCCACATTTGAAATAAAATGGAAAAGTGAAAAAGCTTGATAAGTGGATGCCTTATGAAAAAACTGGAGAAAAAAAAGAGAGAAAGAAAAGCATACCATTTTGAACCTGAATATGCTTTCTAAGAGTTTGCTGGGCGTGAATTTTTAAATTTTATTTATTCTTCTCTCATAGATTACCTCCCAACTGCAGTTTTCCCTCCTTCATCTCCTCCCAGTCTCTCATCTTCTGCCTTCTTTCTCCATAAGATCCACTCCTTCTCCAATTCCCTGTATAAAAAAAGGCAGGCCTCCCAGGGATACCAACTAAACATGGCATAGCAAGTTACAGTAAAACGAGGCACATATCCTCATATCAAGGCTGGACAAGGCAACCCAGCAGGAGGAAAAGGGTCTCAAAAGCAGTCAAAAGAATCAGAGACAGCCCCCACCCTCACTCTTAGGAGTCCCACAAGAACACCAAACTACACACCATGACATAAACACAGGATCTAGGTCAGACACATACAGGCTTCCTGATTGTCACTTCAGTCTCTGTGAGCCCCTTTGAGCCTCTGGATAGTCGATTCTGTGGATCATGTTCTCCTGCTGTTCTTGACCCTAGTGCCTCCTACAATTCTTCCTCCCTGTCTTCCCAGGATTACCTTCTGCTTGGCTATGGTTCTGCATCTGCTCCTGTAGCAATCTGTAGATTGCTGTTGGTAAGGTGGCCATTTTTACCTGTTGACCGAATTGATCCATGAGCATGGAAGATCATTCCCCCTTTTGATACCTTCTTTAGTTTCTCTCTTCAAAGACTTGAAAAAGTCTTTCACTTGCTTGATTAGAGTTACTCCAAGATATATGTGGCTATCGTGAAAGATGTTGTTTCCCTGATTTCCTTCTCAGCCCATTTGCCATTTGTATGTAGGAGGGCTACTGGTTTGTTGTTGTTGTTGTTGTTGTTGTTAGTTAATTGTGTATTTAGCCACAACACTGAAGGTATTTATCAAGTGTAGGAGTTCCTGGTAGAATTTTTGGGATCACTTATATATTATCATATTATCTGAAAATAAAGATACTCTGCCTTCTTTCTTTCCAATTTGTATCTCCTTGATCTCTTTTAGTTGTCTTGCTGCTCTAGTTAAAACTTCAAGTACTATCTATATTAAATTAATATGAAGGAAGTGGACAGCTTTGTTTTGTTCCTAGTTTTAATATAATTGCTTTGAGTTTCTCTCCATTTGGTTTGATTTTGACTACAGGCATGTTTTACTCTATTGAGGTATGTACCTTGTAGCTTTGGTCTCTTCAAGACTTTTATCATGAAGGAGTGTTGAATTTTGCCAAAGGCTTTTTCAGTATCTAATGAGATAGATGATCATGTGGGTTTTTTTCTTTTAGTTTGTTTATATGGTGAATTACATTTTCAGGTTTTTATATGTTGAACCATCCCTGCATCACTGAGATGTAGCCTACTTGATGATCGTGAATGATCTTTTTGATATATTTTTGGATTCTGTTTGTGAGTATTTTACTGAGTATTTTTGCATCAATGTTCATGAGAGAAATTGGTCTGTAAGTCTCTTCATTGAGTCTTTGTATGGTTTAGGTATCAGGGTGACTGTGGCCTCATAAAATGAATTTGGCAATGTTCCTTCTGTTTCTATCTTGTGGAATAATTTGATATTAAGTCTTCTTTGAAAGTCTGGTAGAACTCTTCACTAAAACCATTTAGCTAGCCATGTACTTTTTTGGGGGTGGGTTGTAGAGGACTTTTAATGAATGGCTATTTCCTTAGGGGTTATAGACTTCTTTAAATTATTTATCTGGCTTCGATTTAACTTTGGTATATAGTATCTATTAAGAAAACTGTCCATTTCTTTTAGAGTTTCCAATTTTGCAAAGTATAGGATTTTAAAGTGTGACCTAATGATTCTTTAGATTTCCTGTGTCTGTTATGTCTCCCTTCTTGTTTCTGAATTAATTTGGACATTCTCTCATCCTTTTAGTTAGTTTTGATAAGAGTGTCTGTCTTACTGGTTTTTCTCAAAGAACCAACTGTTTGCCTTATTGATTCTTTGTATTGTTATCTTGTTTCTATTTTATTGATTCAGCCCTCAGTTTGATTATTTCCTGCTGTCTATTCCTCTTGGGTGTATTTGCTTCTTTTTGTTATAGATATTTCAAATGTACTGTTAAATTGCTAGTATTTTTTATGTAATTTTTTTATGTAGACACTTTGTGCTGTGAACTTTCCTCTTAGCACAACTGCTTTCATTGTGTCCCATACGTTTGGGTATGTTGTGCCTTCATTTCCATTGAAGTCTAGACAGTCTTTAATTTCTTCCCTTATTTCTGTCTTTAAGCAGATAGTTTTTCACTTTCCATAAGTATATAAGCTTTCTGTTGTTTCTATTGTTGTTGAAATCCAGCTTTAGTCCATGGTGGTCTGATAGGTATGTAGGGGAGTATTTCAATTTCCTTGTATCTGTTCAGACTTGCTTTGTGAACTAGCATATGGTTGATTTTGGAGAAGGTTCCATGAGGTGCAGAGAAGAAAGTACATTCTTTGTGTTTGGGTGAAATGTTCTATAGATATCTGTTCATTCCATTTGGTTCATAATGTCTGTTAGCTTTGTTATTTCTCTGTTTAGTTTTTGTCTGGATGACCTGTCCATTGGTGAGAGTAGGGTATTAAAGTTTCCCATTATTAATGTGTGGTATTTGATGTGTAATTTAAGCTTTAGTAATGTTTCTTTTATAAGTGTGCATGCCCTTGCATTTGAGGCATAGATATAAGAACTGAAATATCATCTTGGTGGATTTTTCATTTTATGAACTGTAGTGTCCTTCCCCATCTCTTTTGGTTAATTTTGGTTGGAAGTTTATTCTGTTAAATATTAGAATAACTACACCAGCTTGCTTCTTTGATCCATTTGTTAGAAAGCCTTTTTCTAGCCCTTTACTCTGAGGTAATGTCTATTTTTGTTGCTGAGCTGTGTTTCTTGTACATCCATTCTGTTAGCCTGTGTTTTTTTTTTTTTTTTGCTGGTGAAATGAATCCATTGATATTGAGAGATATTAATGACCAATGATTGTTAATTCCTGTTATTTTGGTAGTTGTGGTAGTGGTGGTGATAGTGTGTGTGTGTGTGTGTGTGTGTGTGTGTGTGTGTGTGTGATTACCTTCTTTTGGGTTTGCTGGTGTGAGATTATTTATTTCTTGTGTTTCCATGGGTGTAATTCACCTCCTTGAGTTGGGGTTTTCCTTCTAGTACCTTCTGTAGGGCTGGATTTGTGGATAGATGTTGTTTAAATTTGACTTTGTCATGGAATATATTGTTCTTTTTCCATCTGTGGTGAGTGAAAACTTTGCTGGTATTGTAATCTGGGCAGGCATCTGTGGTCTCTTAGAGCCTGAAAGACATCTTCTCGGGCCCTTCTGGATTTTACAGTCTCCACTGAAAAGTCTAATAGGTCTGCCATTATATGTTACTTGGCCTTTGGACTTTTCCTCATTGTAGGTTTTAATATTTTTTTCTTTGTTCTTTGTTTTTAATGTCTTGATTATTATGATGCAAGGGGTACTTTCTTTTCTGGTTCAGTCTATTTGGTATTATATGGGCTTCTTATACCTTTATAGGCATGTCCTTCTTTAGGTTAGAATTTTTTTTCTATGAATTTGTTAAAAATATTTTCTGGGGTTTTGAGCCGGTATTATTCTTCTGTTTCTATTAGGTTTGGTCTTTTCATAGTTGTAGAGGAATTTTAATCCAGCAACATGACTGCTCTGGCAAGGGATCACATCCAAAGACCTTCTATGTCCTTCCAGGCCTGGCCGGAATGCAGACACTCCCTACACCTTTAATTCCTCTGGCTGGAATACAGACATACCCTTAGTACACACCTTTAATCCCAAACAATGTTGTCTAATTGATTTGATAGAATGAGTCAGAGACAGAATATGACTAACTCACAAAAGCAAACAGGAAGGAGAAGCTACTTAAGAGCAGTGCAGGGAGAGAAAACAGAGTTGAGTTCAGAGCAGTTCAGTTGAATTTAGTTGAGCTCCTGCAGTTCTGTTCAGTTTTTGGAGTTCAGGGACAATTTTTCTAAGCAGAGCAATTCAGTCAGGTGCTAACGGAAGCTGGATTGACTCAGTCAGCTTGGAGAGGAGCTTGAGCCAGAACAGCTGAGTTGAATCAGTCAGCCAGAGTTCAAAAGGAGTTAAGAACGGGTGAGCTTATTCAGCAGAAAGTTCTGGAGTCTGAAAACATTTTATGTCTGAGTTAGCAGACAGAGCTGGAAGCTGAAGCCTTCAAGGTCTGGACTTACAGAAAAAAAAATTAGATATATGGAAGCTAGAAGTGTCCAGGCCTAGGCCTAGGGATAAATAGAACAGACAGAAATTCTCTGGGCTTGGACCAAGCCATGGATTTGTAAAGGTTGGGCATGGCTCTCATCTCATCCCCTCATCTGAGGAAATAAAAGCAACATTTACACGTAGTGTCCCAGATTTTTGGATGTTTTGTGTAAGGAATTTTTTAGATTTAACATTTTCTTTGACTGATGTATCTATCTCTTCTATCATATCATCAGGTTTTTTTCCTAGATATTATACCCAAGAAAATGGACAACACATGTGTACACAAAACTTGTAAACCAACACTCATAATTCTTAATCCACACAAGTGGAAACACACATCAGTACAATCTGTTATTATTCAGCTAAACAAGATAGACATCTTGAAACATACTACAAAGTGGATTAGGCCTAAAAACACTATGCTAAGTGAAAGGCCAGTCTCAAATTAATATGTGTTTTGTGGTTTCAGGACCATAATCTGTGAAAAGCAGGCAAGTTTGGAAAGACAGAAAGCAGGTTAGAAGCTAGGGCTGAGAGTGAGCTTAGCTGGTAATACTTGCCTATCATGCACAAAGCCCTGGGCTTTATCTATGCTACTGCTTAAGGGAGGCATGGGTAAATCCCAAAGATAAAAGCAGAAAGACCACCAACCCACATCATTATGGCCAAGTTAATTAAAGCAAGCTTTTTCATTCATGTACACAGGCCACCTCAGGTGGGGTTTGAGAGGTCAGCATTGGATGTGAAGAAGACAAGGGTTTTATAGCTCACAATAGGGGATTCCTAAATGGGGAATTTGATGGGCAAAATAGGAGGGGTTACAGGAGCAGATCATCATAACATGTTAATCCTAACAACCTCCTGAAATTGGGACATGGCTGCAAGGTGGTCTTAACAATAGGTTAAGACCATAATAACCCTTTTGAAACAAGGTAGGGTTGCAACATAATTATTAACTTTTTTATACAAAGATATGATTGCCATCCCTGGAACAGGTGGTACAGAACCATTTGTAGTTAAGGTTACAGGTGGGGCATAGCACAATCCATGCAAAACAGAAGTTTAATCATAAACAGGAATGAACCTAGTTTGTCTTTACTATAATTGTCTTTTAAGCCTACAGTGGAGGCAGGCTGGTTCTTCACATGCTGGCATACGCTGTATTCCCAGTGCTTAGGAGGTGAAGACAGGTTGATCACAAGTTCAAGGCCGTCCTTGGCTACATAGAGAGTAGACTGGAATAAATGAGTTGCTGTCTCAAAGACAAAGAAAGAAGCAGATTAATAATTTGTGGGAGCTCTGAGGAGAGGTTCATGGGTACAAGTTTCATCTGAAATGACTGGTGATGGTTGCTTTGAAAATACTGAAAAACCAGCTGAAATTAATCTTTTTTTAAGATTTATTTATTATGTATACAATGTTCTGTCTGCATGTACACTTGCATGCCAGAAGAGGGCATCAGATCCCATTATAGATGGTTGGGAGCCACCATATGATTGCTGGGAATTGAACACGGGACCTGGAAGAGCAACCAATGCTCTTAACCTCTGAATCATCTCTCTAGACTCTGAAATGAATCTTAAAGCAGGTGAATTGTGTGATGTGTGATGTGTGAACTTTATCTCACCAAAGCTACTAGTAGAAGAAAGAGGGGTGGTTATCCACACCTCATTGGTGGTTGGGGATTTTATCCCCTCTGATCTTCTTTACCAAGTGCCCATGACAAGATCATGGCCTCTTTGTTTTTCAGGGGTGCTGTTGTCTTCAGTTACAGAATCTTATTGATTATATCAATGAGGAATGGCAACACATCCAAAGCCCTGAAATGGAATTAATCAGTATTTTGCCTCATGTATCCCAAGCCAGTGAAGCTGAAAGAATGAAGGCAAAGGAAAGAGCTTTGCAGAGGTAATGCAAGGGCACTGGAGCAGTGCCAGACAGGATGTGCTAACTGCAGAACATCTCATAAAATGAACCTTGGTTTCTCAAAATATATAGTTATGAGAATGTGTTTGTTATAAAGACATAGAAATGAGATAAGCTACTCATTATAATTCCTGGTTGACAACAAGAGATTCAGAAATTCCCAGAAGAGCCAGGGATACAGCTCAATAGTAGAATGCTTCCCTTTTGTACCCAAAGCCCTGAATTAAATCCCTATCACCATATATATACATATACAGATACTCAATAATAATGATATTAGAGACAGAAACCTAGTGAGCTCACTGATTTAAAGTAGAAATTGTCTAGCATAAATTATCAGGGCAATTCAGAATACCTATGCTGGAGAAATTTGCCCAAAAAGCCCACTTGCATGCTTTGATCCATAAACTGGATTCATAAGTGAAAACATTAAGATAACAAAGGATGGCACTTAAGCAGCTGAAATTTGTAGCACACTATTTCCACTTTCAACCACAATTCAGATCTATGCTTGATGGTTTTGATTTTGTAGAAAACAAGAACGTGAAATGGCCAGACAGTTGGCAATGATGCCTGTTGAGCCAATCATCCCGGTCTTTGAAGAAGGTAAGACTATTGTCATGGATGCTGTGCAGCTTCAGAAAGCTCAGATGTCGAGCCAAGGCATAAAACTGGCATATTTTAAAATAACATTAAAAATGTTCATTTGTAAGTATCATGAAGCCTGTATCTGGTGGAATGGATCGAGAAATCCAAGGTTAAGATATTTAAAGGCCCTCTTTTAGAGATCTTGGTCTCTGTCTCATTGTTATTGGTTGAAATAAATTACTAACATCTTCAGAACACCCCTTAGAAGTGGCTGAGCACTGTCAGGTTTGTGTTTCTTGTGTCAGGAAGCATACGCTGCACTCCGTTCTCAAACTTGAATGCGGATATTCTGTCAATAGACACCTGAATACTTCCTGTACTCACCAGGGCTGGTCAGTGTGGGGCACTTGAAGGAGCACTGAAGTTAGCATCAGAAATCCTAGCTTTAAACATTTGATGACCTCCTCACAGGCCATCTGATTTAGAAGAAACAATTTAATTTTCCAGTCAGCATCAAGTTTGAAAAGGTACTTAAGGTAGTCAATTCACTTTGTAGTTTTGCAACTAAATATCTAATATTGTAGGGAATTTCACTGTTTCTTATTGAAACTAAAAGCCAGGCATGGTGGCACATACACTTTTAAACTTCAGCTAGGCAGCTCTCTGGGAGTTTGAGACCAGCTTTATCTACATAGTGAGTTCCAAGCTAGTTGGGATTATATATTTGAGACCCTGTCTCCAAAAAAAGGGGGGGATGGGGATGAAAGAAAGAGAGAGAGGGAGGGAGGCAGGAAAGGAGGAAAGGAGGAAGGGAGGGAGGAAAGAAAGAAGGAAGGAACTAAAAGCTCAGGATTTCCACATAATGAAAACTCTCTCAGTGGGATATTCTTTTTTTTTATTTAATAGAAAATTTTCAATTTTTTAATCAAACAAACTCCCTCCTAGTTTTAATTTAATAAAAGTCCTTATTTTTTTTCCTTTAAAACAGTTTGATAAATCAATGCATTTGCAATAAGGTTAATTTAAACTGGGTTTATTATTTTATTATAAAGATGCTTTTCTTTTTAATTCAAAACACATATGTACTTTCATGCTGTTCTTCTCCCATTAGAACCAAAGCACGTGAGGACAGTTTCTTACCTGCTTTCTGCTTTGCAGAAGAAGGTGAGCATTAAATACACAACTGATACTCAGATCAGCAACTTCTCCATCACTTGCTGTGATTCCAGGAAAACAGGTGGAAAGGTAATTCTTTTACAATTTCTTGTTTGTGATTTCTTTTTAAAAAAAATCATTTTTACTTAAAACATACAAAAGTTCTCGTGGAGCTTCACTGATGGCCCATTAGCTATCTCTCAAAAAGAATTAGTGCAGACTTGAGATTGCAGCTGCTTCTAAACTTTTTGTCTTATTGGTGTTCTTAGCTAAAGCCTTTTGGCCTTAAAATGTCACAGTTACACATTAAAGACCATCTGGAACTCTTAGAAAGTTAAAAGAAAAGGAGAGAAATCATCAAAACCCTAACCACTTCTTTGGAACTGTGTTAGCATTTGAAGTGTTCTCTGTACCTCCGCTCTTCTAAAGTTAGAGACGAAGAACTTTAAAGGGAACGTTCCTCCCATAAACGACCCAGTGCAGTCTCCATCAGCTCTAAGAAGAGTGTATTTTACGTATATTGAGGGAAATCTCCGTAAGTTGATTTAAAAATTCACGTGGAAGTATAAAGAACCTATGATTACCAAGACACTCTGGAAAAAAAAAAATGGAGATGTAGACCTCTACAGAATATGGTGATTGAGCCGGAGTGAGGGTGGGGAGGGATAAGCAGAGCCACAAAGCAGTCTACAATCAGAAGCCAGTGTGTCTCCCTAACTAAGGACAGCGGTGCTGCTGCAGAGCAGTGCTGAAGGAAAGTCTCTCTGCTGTGTAGTTCTGGGTCAGCCTCAGCTGGGAAGCCATATGTCTTATTAATGTAATTGGAAAGACCACCTTCCACCATCGAACCACATATAGAAATCAATTTTAAGGAGAGTAAAAATCTAAACACAACACATATAAACTATAAGGATTTTCTTTTCATTTTTAAAATGTGCAATATTAGGGTATTTTATATATACATGTATTTTATACCTACACGTGTTTTGATCATATTCACCTCCAGCTCCTCCTCTTAACTCCTCCCAAATCTAATTTTCATCCCCCAATCCCACCCCACTTTGTATCTTTTTTACTTTATAACTAAGTCCAATTTGTGGTGCCACAAAGTATTATTTTAACATCATAGAATAGATTTAGACCTAGAAGCAGTATTTGCTAAGGTTTTGATTAATTAAAATTTAAAAACTGAAAAAAAGCCAAAACTGAAAAATCATTTAAATTACACATGGAATATAAAGATCTTATATCCTACATTTATAAAGAATTTTTATTAAGCAAATTAAAAAGTTAATTTTTCCAGGTGTAGTAGTGCATGCCTTTTATCCCAGCATCAGGAGGCAGAGGTAAGCAAATCTATCTGAGTTCAAGATCAGCATGGTCTACATATCGAGTTCCAGCTTAGCCAGGGGTAAAGAGTGAGACCGTTTGCCCAAAACACCAACCAATAAACAAACAAATGAAGTAAGTGAATCTTACAGAAAAAGTGAGCCCTTTCTCAAAACTTGAACAGAAACTTTTCACAAGAGAAAATGCAGATGACTAAAAGCATATAAAAGCCCCCTTAAACACCTTAATCACCCTAGAAATGAAAATTCATTCCATACTAACCATACTGGCAAAAATGTAAACTCTGATAGTGCTGAGCTTTGGGCTGAGGACCAGACAGTAGCTGAGCAGCATTTGCCTGTGACAGGTGATGTGACAAAGAACTAGAAACAGTATCCTACAGGAACTTAATACCAGCATGCACATATACAAATGTTCTATTCATCAGCGCTTCTGATGGTCAAAACCAGGAGAAACCCAGATTCTCTCACCGAGGATGGCAAATAGAAAACTGAGCACTGAGAGTTCCTGCACATCAGCTCCTCACTGGGAGCAGGAGGGATCTTTCTTTGACAAAGAGCAGACAGTATACTGTTCAATGGATGAGCCCACGTATGGGACATTAAAAATGGGACCTTAAATGATGAACACACAAAAAGCAAACAGAAGTTGCCAAAATCATCCTGTCAGCTGCATCTTGGCAGAGTGTTGATACTGGACTTGCCACACGGGGCTAGGCACCCTGGGGTGCGCACACTATCTGGAAGTATTCCATATTTCACAGCTTCAAAAGCAGGCAGGCAGGGTGGGTGGGAGGGAGGCCATCATTTCTAGATGGAGCAATAGGTTTCCAAAGTAAATGACAACGTTTATACAAAACTTTAGATCATATCACCCTAGGAATTCTTGTGTCCATTTCAGTACAATTCAAGATTAGGAATGCATCAAATTAAACCAAATCTGCAGTTTATCATACTCATTATCAGATACCAATTCATTTTCACCCTGAACTTCCATAGGAAAGTGGTTGAGCTTGGAGCCATGATAAAGAGTTACGCTCCTGTATGTCTGTCTTCACTGCCTCAGAGCCACTGCCAGACATATGCTCAAACAACCCTGCTGCTGTATGTCAGTCTGGAATATTTTTCCATTCTAAAGTCAGGCTTACTGCTGGGGTGTAGCTTGCCTAGTATGTGGAGGGCCGTAGGTTCAATCCTCAGCACAGAAAAGCAAAAACAAACAATACGAGTGAATAAAGTAGTAATATTCATGTGATAATAGTTACCCTTTCGTTGTTCAGCTAAGCACTTCCACAGATATGTAAAAATCATTACTGTTAGGATATGAACGTTATCATTGTGATGTGACTGGGTTTTTTTTTTTTCTCTTTTTGTGGTACTATATATGATCTAACAAATGAAAATTTTAGATAGGTAAGTGATAACAGGAGGGGTTTGTTAAGTCATACCACGGGGATCTGTAAATGGTGGCTTCTGACCATCCCATGTTGTGGACGCAAAGCCAAGCACATTAAGAAATGGTGTGTGCCACTGTGCTCTGGGTATTAGGTCATTAGCCCTCAGTCAGGGCTTTTTTGTTGTGCTTGTAGGAGATGAAGAAAGAGTTCCTGGAGAAGTGCTACAAGCACGGAAGCAAGTTTCTCACTTCCTTTCCAGATGGGACAACACAAATATTGTATCCTTTCTTTCTGTACATTATTGTATTATTGGCTTTACTTCACAAAAAGAAAAACAGGCAGGGCCTGATAGCACAGGCTTGTAGACCCAGCTACTTGAGAGGCTGAGGTGGGGGAGGCTGAAGCAGGAAGACAGCAAGTCCACAGCCTGCCCGGAAAACTCAGCTTGAGCCTCTCCCAAAATCAAAGAAAGAGATGAGGAGGTCTGTGGTAGAGTACCTCACAGGTACAGGGGCTTTAGTGTCAATCCCAATAGAAAAGGAAGGAAGGGAGGGAGGAAGGGAAGAAGGGAGGGAGGAAAGGGGGTTGGAGGGGAGAGGAGGGAAAGAGAAGAGAAGGGAAAGGAAAGAGGAAAGGGAGGGAAAGAAGGGAAAGGGGAAGGAGAAGAAGGGGAAGAAGGAGAAGAAAGAAGGAGAAGAAAAGGGAAGGGGGAAGGGAGAAGGAGGAAAGGGAGAAGGGGAAGGAAGAAGAAGAGAAAGGGGAAAGGAAAGAAGGGAAAGAGGAAGGAGAAGAAGGGGAAGGGGAAGAGGGGAAGGAAGAAGGAAGGGAAGGGGAAGGGAAGAGGGAGGGAAAAGGGAAGGGAAAGGGGAAGGAGAAAGGGAAGAGGGGGAAGGGAAGGGGAGAAAGGAGGGGGAGGGAAGGAAAGGGAAGAAAGAGTAGGGAAGGAAAAAAAGAAAGAAAGTAAAGATAAGACAGAAAAGAAAGAGACAGGGGAAGGAGGAGGAAAATACAGAAAAATATACTCCCAGAATTCTATATACACCCAGAGAAAAGCTGGTGACATTTTAAAATACACTTCACCTTGCCCTCCCAGTCATAAGCTTACATGTATAGTTCTTTGAAACCAACTCAAGCGTATATTTCACTTTGCATCTGGTTCTGTTAATGTGCTATATTACATTAGTTGATTTTCAAATGTTGAACTAACCTTACGTTCATGGGATAAATTTAATTTTATCATGATGTACAATGCTCTTAAATATTTGTAAATTCTATTTCTTACTACTTCGTTGGGGATTTTTGCATTTCATACATATATTTCAATTTCTATAAAATCATACAATTCTTTTATATTAAAAGTAATAGAGATCTTTTCTCTGAAAGGTTCTCATAAGGCTCCGAAAGGTTCCTCATAAATTAACTTTATTCCACACATAGTCCAGGATCACTAGATCACTCACAGGACCTTATCTGATCCCAGATATCCATCTGGAAATCTAGCCATTATCCAAGTGCCCAACAAGGTAGATGGTTTTACTTGTATTGTCCAAGAAGACGCACCCACCAATCCTGCTATCCTGGCACTGCTCGACTCCTCCGGCAAAAGCTCCTGCTATCATCCCAATGGAAATGTCTGGTAGGTTTCTCAGGTCCTTGCTGTTATGCTGTTGATGTTGCTTTGACAGCTTTTGCACTGTTGTTGTTTAACTGTGTTTTTTCCCTCTTCGATAGGAATGGCTTTAGAAAGATGTATTGGAGTTAGTGGTGTAGTGGTCTCGAGATAGCGATAGAACTCAGAGGCACGCTACGCTGTGGTGCTCACTGCTTGAGATATTTTCTAGTGATCTTCCTGGAGCTGTGTCAGACAAGAGCATACAAATTAACCCCCTAGAGCCACAAAGACTGTGAAAGCATTTTCCCTGCATGCCTGGCAGCCCAGGGTCATCCACGGATGAAGACGGAAGAGAACTGACTGCCTCAGGTCTCCTCTGACTCCACACACATCTGCAGCTCCCAGGCAACCCCCACAACCACGCAGCTCATGCATACAAACACAGTAATAATAGAGAAAGATGGAAATCTCTATAGAAAGATCCTGACTCCCCTTTAATTTACCAATATAGGTGCTCCATACCTTTACATTATTTTATTTAACCTGAAAGGAAAATCTGGGTTCCACCTTCAGATACAACTTAAGCCTTTCAGAAAGGTATATAGTGTTGTGAGACGCGGTCTCACTCTGTAGCCCTGGCCAGACTGGGATTCCCTTTGCAGAGCAGGCTGGCTTCAAATTTGTGACCCTCATCTTCCGAAGTGCTAGATTACAGGTGTGAGACGCCATGGTTGGCTTTTCGAATTATCTGTTGGGACAATCTCACTTGGGAAACCTGCCGATAACTGGCAAAGCTTGAACCTTGCCAGTGCTGATAAGATTGCAGCACAGTGAAGTGCGTATGTTTCTAGCCCATGATAGTAACCGACCCATTAACACCCTGTATAATGGGAAATTTCTGCTTCTCCTTCGGGATTCAATAGTAAGTCTGTGTTACATTTTTTTTTGGGGGGGGGTGTTATAATTGTCACCTATATTAATTCAACAGGCTGTAGATACCAGTTGGTTTCAGGGATCCCAAACCCCATGAGCTGAACTCTTTAGTATTCTGACTGGCCCTGACATTCCCAAAGGCCCTTCTCTCTGTCTCTGTGAGGTACATCTGTGTTCTCTGTGGACTGAAGTTCTTTGAGCAGTATATCCTGAATCTTTACTAGTATTCAGCAAAATCTATGATATAAACTCCAAGAATAATTAAAGATCTGATTCAGATCCATTTAGCCAAATACTATTTACTTGAAAGGCAGAGAGAAATCACTCCTTTATCCAGTAAGACAGATATCCTTTTGGTTTTTCATTTCTTTTGCTCTCAGGTTAGTATCAGTAGTAGCCAGTCACTGCTGGAGAAATTAGTTATCTTTACTCATGGGGGCTTTTGTGGGCATGTCACAGAGTTAGAAAGGAAAGCCAACCTTCTAAGTATACAGAACTCTCCTTGGCTGTGGAAGGTGAGGGAGTATGGCAGTGAAACTGTCCAGTAGAATGTCACGGTGAGTAGTGCCACAAAACCTCAGAAGAGGCCTGACTGTTTGTGATGTCGTGAAGGTGTGGCATTGGCAATGCCACACGATTGGAGAGGCCCACTGGATTCAAGTCACATTTTTGCTCTGTTGTAGAACTTTTCGCCATTGTAGTGAACACAGAAGTACCTCCCGAACCCCCATTTTTCACACCCAGCCCCCCAAAAGCTTCATTCTCAATGGTTGGTGGTACAGTCCAGCTCATGCAATGAACCCCAGACCCTGGCCTCAAACACCAGCACTCACTAACCACCCCCTCCAAAAAAAAGAGAGAGAGAGAAAAGAAGGACACTTGGCTTGTAGCTGTGTCAGCTCTCTTGAACAAGGACTAATCTGGCCACCCCCCAACCTTACATGGATGGTCCTGCATTTCTGCCTGATGAAAATCTCACCATTGGTCCCTCCCTGTCAGGAACAGCCTCCCCTCTATATCCTTTCTCTCCTGGATGAAACTTCCAGGGCCTCCTCTCCACCTCCTGACCTTTTTCAGACCCACTTAATTTGTACCTAGTATTTCAAATAGCGAGAAGTGACTAGTATTACTTCTAAAGTTACAAAAGGATTCCAGCACTCACGCATCTTTAGAGGAAGGGACAGAGTTAATTCAGCCTTGCGTTATAGTGCTACTGTTGGTGGGGCTGTTTCTGTTCTCTGAGCAAAGGCCTCAGTCTGGCAATCCTCCCTGAATGCTCTGTTATTAATCACTCTCATTTCCTTCCAGGGTATACATTAACCTCTTGGGAGGCCAATACTCAGACCAAGATGGCAATAGAATCCGAACTTGGAACTGGGCAAGTTCCATGCCTACCTCATCCTTTGTTTCATTTAAACCTGTCTTTCTTGCCTTGAACCGTTACATTGGAATTCGCATCATAGAACAAGACAAGGTCTTCATTAATTTTCTAGCAATGGGCCAACAGGCCAGAATCAGTGTGGGAACCAAAGTAATGGTATGCATATCAAAAACAGTTAAAATCATTTAGCTTTTAAGAGTAAAATAATTTTGTTGATATTATTACTGATTGCATACATATTTGCATAGTCTGTCCACTGAGAATTTTTGGAATCCACAATGAAGGTTTCCTGCGTAATTGAAGCAATGTTACATTTTCTTCACTCTTAAAATTCCTTTCAGTTCAGACTCAATTCCAAGTGGCATCTCTGGTGTTCATTGTGTGGCTGCAATCAGCTGCCCTGTCAGTTTTGTTTTAGGGACTGTGTTGTGAAGTTCCTGTTTCTTCCCCACTACGGCCAAAAGCCCTAAGCTGGGCCAGGAAATCTGGGTTCCCATCATATCAAGAGGATATATAAATACAAGCTCTGACTCCTTGGAGACACGGCTAGACTGTCTAGGACCTCACCATGTCACCACTGACCATGTTCTGAGCTTCCCCTGGACTTGTCCTTGCCCTACACTGGCCAAGCCAGGCTACCTCTCTTGATATGATGGCTGCCTTTCCCACTCCAGGATAGGACAGGCTCTCTCCACTTCCTTTATCCCAGTGCTGTGTCCTGGCTTGGTCAAAGCACATGCTCCATGATGACCCTAAGGCAGCGGTTAGGAACGCAGACATCAAGTTACAAGCAGCTCTGCTGCTGGGCTGCGTGAGGGAACTTCAGCTTCAGTTTCTCATCTATGAGTTGATTCCTGCCCAGCAGTAGCTGTTGGGAGCCTGTGAAAATGTAACGTACTGGGCACTGACTACGCACTGAGCAAACAAAACTGCCACAGAGATGCAGAGAGAAATGCGCAGAAGTTGGTTTGCTTCCATATGCAAAAATCACTTGGAGCACACCTCTTCAACTCTGAGAAGCTTCATTTAGTCTGCGTTTAGAGGAGGTTGCTTCAAACTTCCCAAGTGCTTTCAACTGCCAAAATTCATGTGTTTCATTATAGAAGGGGGATCTCAATATTCAGCACAGGCAAACAAAGGGAGACTCAGATCTAACCTCAACTGTGTTCAGCATGATCCTAGGCCCTGTTAGTTACTCTGGCCATCTACCTGGATTCAGCTCTGATAAAACTTTTTTCTTGGTTACAAATGTACAGTGTTATCAACTACTCCCAGCATATACAGTAATGTATACCCTCCTTTTGGTACACTGCACTTATGGTAAGCACATTCCTCTCTAAAGCACAAAAATGTCCCCTCTTGGGCAGCTTCACGCCCCTGCCACCCCCACCCATCCACATTGCTTCTCTCCTCCTCTATTGGAAATGAATTTTAGTATGGAAAAGACATTTTGATGCAAATATGCAAAAAAAAAAAAAAAAAAAGGATTTTTACTTTTCCCACTGTTTTCAGTTACTCCTTCAGTTTGGAGAAACTGTGTTCTTTGTGCGCCTGCATCCCTCACAGGTGAGGGAGTTGCCTGCTTGTGGAAGGTTAGGCTTCTGCTGCTCTTTAGATTGTCCCCACCCCCCAGGTGGCCCTAAAGCTGAAGGCTGTCCTGACAGGTCCCTTCAGTAGTTGAGGAAGTGAGGAAGTGGAGAGGGCAAGTGAGCCAAATGAAAAGGCAATTTGGAATGGACACACTGAAGAGGACAAAAGGAGTGTTAGTCACCCCCATGCTATCTTCTCTAGGAAGATGTCCCCTGGGCCTTCAGAGCATCCTCATGACCCCTCTCCCCCGCCCTACTAGATACTATCCAAGGAAGAGACTATTTAAGGTAGCTTCAAGCTTCCTTCGATAGATGTTGGTTAAATTTCCTGAATAAAGATTTGAACATGTCTCAAGTCCATTTGGTCTCTCAGGTCTCCACACATGACAATCTTCTTCCTCACTGATTACTTGCCCCCTTTTTTTCTCTCTCTCTCTCTTTTTCTGACAAGCTCCACAACCCAGAGGAGATTCCGCCCCTGAGGTTCCTGAGTGGAGAGGACCTTCTGCTGTTTGCCAACTTGATAAAAATCCGGCGGCTGTTCCATAAGATGGAATGTTGTCTGAATTTCCCCTCAAGTCAAGCTTGGGAAAAATTTAAGCAACCTCCCTACCTTTCTACAATCTCTCTAAAACTGCTTGCCCTCTGTCATAATTCTGGCATAAAGGAAGACATATTGGCAACAATTACAAAGCTAGTAATTGAAAAATATTAAAGAAGTGTCATATGGCTGTTTGTTTGTTCATTTTGTTAAGGTTCTTTTAAGGTTCCACCCACAGAACACACTAACCCACCTGACGAAGTAGAAAGCCCAAGCTCTGGATTTGAAATCCCACCAGTCCCCACCCTATAAAGCTACACACACACACACACACACACACACACACACACACACACACAAGCACACAAGATATTCTATATAAATTGTGTCTTCTGCTCAGCTCTCTGCTGCTTCTCATCAAAACAGAGTCAGCCACCTCCTGGGTTCTTCCCACACACAAACAATAAATCTCTAGTGTGAGGTTTGTTGTGCAGTGTGACTTTGTGCTATTTCTTTGCCTCTTGACTGCCAGGAGACCTTTCCCTTCAGAGCTGCAACACTTACACATGAGGTTTCAAAGAGTAGACCAAATGACCAGGAAATATCAAGGAATATTTCATGTAAACACTGTGAGTCTTGCTGGTTTATATTCCCAGGTGGGAATTTAACTAGCTTCCTTGACACCAGAAAATAAGCATGGCATAGAGAGATACATGCTAGTGGGTGCCTATCCAACCAGGGGAGATACGGTGGTTTGGCTAGGAACGTCCCTAATAGAGATGTTTGAATGACTGACCCATAGGAGTGGCACTGTTAGGACATGTCGTCTTGTTGGAGTAGGTGTGGTTTGTCAGAGGAAGTATATTACTGGGGGTGGGCTTTGAGGTCTCCAGCTAGGCCCAGTGTGGCTCACTTGAGCTTCCTGCTGTCTGCAGATCCAGATGTAGAACTCTCAGCTACTTCTCCAGCACCCTGTCTGCCTGTGTGCCACTATGTTTCCTGCCATGATGATAATGATCTAAACCTCTGAAACTGTAAGCCAGCCCCAATTAAATGTTTTCCTTTGCAAGAGTTGCAGGGATGGTGGCGCACACCTTTATTCCCAGAACTTGGAAGGCAGAGGCAGTCAGATTTCTGTGAGTTTGAGGCCAGCCTGGTCTACAAAGTGAGTCCAGTACAGCTAGAGCTATGTGACATAGAGAAACCTTGTCTAGAAAAAAAAAACAAACAAAAACAAAAAGAAACAAACAAAAAGAGTTGTAATGGTCATTGTATCTCTTCAAAGCAATAGAAATCCTAAGACAGAGGTTTTTGGTACCAAAGAAATAAACCAATTCAAGACAAATTAAGGGTTAAAAAAAAAAAGTAGTATTTTGGGGGGCTGCTCTAGGGCAATGTCACTGTCCTCAAAAACTGAGGTCAGGAAAATCACCATGCAGATGGGGGAGGGAAGGCAGAGAAAAAGAGCATGCACACACAGGGAGGGAAAAATGCAGAGAGAAAGAAAAAACAAAATATCTGGATTATATAGGGAAGAGCCTCCAGGGGAAGGGAAGCCCAGCCACTGGGCTAGAAAGTTCAGGGTAGAGGGCAGGGTATGCCGGCCACGCCTAAAACAGGTAGAAACTGAGGGATACTGGGTGAACCTGGAAGCAGGTCCACTTTGATTTGTTAAATAGGCATCTCAGCCACTTGTCCTGGGTCTAAACCCAACATCCCTTTGTTGATAATAAATGAACGAGGGGGTGATGTAATCATCTGTGACTACTTCTTGCTGACATTGGGGCATTGTTATTGTGGGTCTAAAAAGCTGGAATGTTAGCCAAATCTGGGAAGAGCAGGCTGTTTCACTTGGTGTCTAGTCTCTGCATGAGCATTTGGGGATAGGGACATGAAGCTGAGTTGAGATAAAACATATATGTTACATATATAAATATATATATATTATATGCATATAAATACACATATATATTTATATATTAGGGGTAGAAGATAAGGTTGAGTTTAGGGGAAAATTTTTGGAGGGTAAACATTTGAAACTTTTAGGCCCATGGTCTTGATAGCTTGGGGCAGGGAGTCCTAAAACCAGAAAAAGGAGAAGGAATCTCACCTCCTGAAATAGGCAATAGGTGGGGAACATTAGGCTATTGACTGACAGGGGTACTTATCTGGAGTCCATTTGACCCATGAGAGGTTGATTGAATTCCGTTCCTTGAAGCTTAAAAGAATAAGAATCTTTTCAAATACACAAAAAGAGATAAGTTTTAGAAATGTTAGCATCACCATTGTTTGCAAACTGTACTGAAACCCACATAAGTAGTCAAGGCAACAAACTCACACCTTTGTGTCATAATAGAAGCTTGGGAAACCGTTTTGGGTTAAAAGTGTGAACACTCTTTAAGGTGAGCTCAGATAGAAGCTTTCTGGTGAGCAGAAGGGACAAAAGTTTGTTTGATCTTGATTTTCAGTATGACTACAAGCCATGAAAGAGGGGCTCCTTTTCTCTATCCAGAAGACTGGATGTATTTAAATTTAGCACAATGAGAAGCATTTTTAAGTCTATACTTAAAAGACAATCAAAGAAAAGTTAAAATCCTGAGCCAATGACTATGATATCAGAACTCTATTGAAATCTTAATACAATAGCATAGCAAGGGAAAGGAATCCGAAGCATATTTTATTTTTCTTATATCTATCTTAAATCATTTTCTTATCACCATTTTAATCTTCTCACATCCTCTGACCTTCATAAGTTACATTTATCAGCCTTAAAAACATCTTCTGAGACCCCGAAATGCTTTCTTGGATACTCCTATTTACGCTTCTGTGCCCTCAGACCCTGTTTCCCAGCTCCTTGCTCATCATCAAATACAGATGCTTGATTGCTGGCAGCAGTCACTGTAAGGCAAGCTTCTCTAGATAAAAGAATAGTAAAATGTTATTTTGAAACCTGACTCTTGTAACGAGGTAAACTGTGTCTACACCTACTAGCGACAGCTCTAGGGGAGCGAGGCCTATGGCCTGGTTTTTACACGTGAGAACTGAAAAGGCAGCTGAAGACTTGATTGCTGCCTTAAACTGCTAACTCTTTCACTAGCTTCCAACCCATCAGAGACCTGAGAAGGATAAATTTCACCTTCGTAAACAGGAAGTGCAGGCCAAGCAGCCTCTAAGTCTGTAGAAATGACAGAGGCTTACTGCCTATCCGGTTAGTCACCGAAGTTTCTCCATGGTCCGTAGGACATCTTTCTTTGATTTGGCAGGCTCTTCTGTGAAACAGGAATTTTGAAGGACCGGCCTACCTTGTCTCGGCAGAGTTGGGCAGTCAACTTGCCAGTATTCTGTTGGTCCACAGTTTGGACAGCCTACAGCCCAATGGATAGCTTTGCCACATTTGAGGCAAGTTTGTCTATGCCCATCTTCTTTGGAGGAGAGTAGGGTGCTTTCAGGAGCGGGCATGTGTATCATGAAAAGCTTTTATTATCATTATCATCATCATCATTATTATTAAACATTTTAAATGCAAAATTCTGCAGATCTCTGAAGGGTTTGGGGACCACATGTCTTTTGAAAGTATATTTTAAATAAACTTTGCCTGCTTCTAGTTATTTATTTTCTGATTAAGTTTGAAAACGTGTACAGGAGGAATAAAGCTTAGTCCCAATTAATTACACTAGTATTTGGCATAGCTAGAAATATAGTTTTGAACACATTAGTATTTGATCATTTTTAAGGTGACTATCAACTTGCATTTCTTAATTGTCATTAACAGTTTACAATTATTTAGTAGCTTTCATAAGATTAGGACTTTAGGTTTAGCCCTGTTAAAATGACAATTTTGAATTTAAGCTCTTTTGGTATGTTTTATTTTTGGACACAGGGTTTCTCTGCGCAATGGCCCTGGCTATCCTGGAATTTGCTTTGTAGACCAGCTGGCCTTGAACTCACAGAGATCCACTACCTTTGCCTCCTGAATGCTGGGATTAAAGGTGTGAGTCACCATGCCTAGTTCAAAATAAAGCTTTTAATTATAACTAGGGTCCATAGGGAAAGTGTCAACTTTACTGATCCTGAAAATGGGTAAACAGTAAACAGACCAAAATGGCCATTCCTTGGGTGAAAAGGAAAAAAAGTTTATTCTAAACTGCCAAAACTGCCCATTTTGAGAGAAGGGTTAATCTTGAGCAAACTGAGAGGCAGCCTGTCTCCTTAGTAAGAGTTATTAGAGTTGTGGTGTCTCTTCGCAGCAATAAAAACCCTAACTAAGACAAGTAGTGTGGGCATAGGGACGTATAACATATTTATTCATTTACTTGCTTCTGGTGGCAAGGGGTTCTCAGTAAGAACACTTAGGCTTCTCAGGGTTTGTAGACACTGTGGTGAAGGGTCACTGGACAAGCGAATGCAGGTTCAAAAGGAACATTCACCATGGTAATCTCTTACAGTCGGGAAGTGGCTTTGGGAGCCCTAGCTCAAGGCTCAAAAATACAAGCTGTTACAGGCAAGAGCAGCAGGTTATAGAAAAAAGAAAAAACAAACAAATAAAAAACTGCTGATCCAGAAATGACTTGGCTCCTTGGTAATGTCTCTAGCAAGCACACAGAAAAAGATGCGACTAAGTATTGCTGACAACGTAACTACTGGTCCTTTGCCTTCAGGGACAAGAGAGAGATAAGGACAAAAAAAGCATGGATCATTGTACATCCTTGAAAAGTTAAAAAAAAAAAAAAAGAGGGGGGATAAGAATGATAGAATAAAAGGTGAATTATTATATCTTTTTTAAGACTAGGAAAGGAACAAATCTCAAATAATTTTACATTGGTATGGATTATTGCATATTGATAAAAATGTAAGGTTATTTTGTACACAAAACTCTTGTTTAAAGTATTGTACATACGCAACTCATTTAAAATTTTGATGTAAAGTTCTATATCTTGAAAGCTGCTAGTATAAACTATTTAGGATCATTAGAAAGGCAAGTTAGTTAGTGACCTACAAATAATCTTGTAGTCTTGTTAGGTACTAGTCAATCACAGAAATAAGCTTTATTTAGCCTCCTGTATATGTTTTCAAAGTTAAGGAGATAGTAAGTAGCTGGAAACAAACAATGTTTGTCTGTTCAAATATAATATAAATAAATATATGGTCTTCAAACTTTCCAGAGATCTACAGAA